CTAGTACTGTTTAAGGTATATAAAGATTATGTTGTCACATGCGTTGTCTAATTAATAAAAGTGAGACTTAAAAATAAATACTTTACATACTTATGTCAAGCTAAGAATATTATATTTCATATTATGTGCAATTTTTGCACCGTCAATGTTGAAATAAACTATTACTTTAGGGTATAAAAGAAGGTTGTCTGCAAGAATTGGTGAATATAGTGGATTATTTTTAGGGGCCACATTATACTGACAGCGACTGTGACGACGTGTTAAATCAAGTGGTAAAGTGGCTAGATTCAGCTCCAAGTGGGTGAGTTAAGATCTTTCAGCGTGAAAATTACATGTTTGTATTCCAAATCCAGATGTGTGTTTATTCAACGGGCTAGGAATGCAAGAATTTTACAACATATTGACGCTAAGGTCCGTTCAGACAACTCCGTGCAACATCGCCTAGATACCACGTTGTTGCAACAATGTTTGATTGTTAAAAAGTAGCTACATTGCAGTGTTGGACGATGTTGGGTTGACCAAATTGTATTGAACGTTTCATTTTGTACACGCAAGGAAATTTTATTCAAGCATACCTGAGTATTACCTTCCCGTTTAAACCTTGGGCACAGCCTTGGACTAAGATTTTTCGCATTTTGACCGCTATAAGTTACTGAATATGAAGGTCGAAAAGTATAAATGTATTAGATGACGATTCAGTTGATTGTGTAACCACTAACTCTACAGGGATCGAATTTTAGTGAATTTGAGAAGTAAAATTTAAATCAGCAGTGACAGCCATCAGGGAAACCAGTTCAAAGCACCTGTTACCTTTCGGAAAGTGATACCTGTACTTAGCATAACAATCAAAATACAGTAGATGTAACAGAGTGCTGCTTTTGTTTTGTTTTACTTTTCTCAACTTGATTTTGAAAAAAAGTATTAATCGTAGAGACTGGCCGTATATGTTGGCGAATGGCGCCACCCGTTCTTGTTGCCATTCATTAATTAGTATAGGTCATCACACAGGAAGGGGTGCAATTAATGATTAACACCGGGGGTGATATTTGAAAAATGTGCCAAACTGCATTTTTGTCAAGAGGTTTTAATTCTTTTGTAAGCAATTTGGCATAAACAAACTAGGGAAATGATCAGAAACTCATAAAGGCACATAACTTAAACTAGAACACATGCATGATTGAAACTCAAACAACATATTTTAGAGTAAGAAAATAAATTGTATTATTATATGGTTTTTCAAAATTCTCTATTCTGATTGGTTGACAAACAATCCGTAAAAACCCATATCTGGACCGTGGACCGTATTTTCCGTATTTGGACCGCGGTGTCCCGGATGTCATTTATCTGGCGGGAAATTTTTGCTTTGCAAACAGAATGAAAAATTTTGCTTTTTAATTTTCCAATTGTGTGTCATTAAAATTTACAGATAAAAATTTCAAACAACCAAATTGTTTTTCATTGAGCATACATGCCTACGGTATATTGTTACCCAGTAAAACTGACGATAGCCGATTTAATTCGCGCGAAAAGCATATGCTCACAGACTCAGTTCAGCCATATAATAAACCGATTATTGGCCTCGCTTGTTCGGTCTTTACTGTGAAATATCAGACCTCTGTTTTTTGCATGGACCTCGCCCCTTCGTCGCTCGGTCCATACTTAAAAACCTCGGTCTGATATTTCACAGTACAGACCTCACGCTCGATCAATAAGCCGTTATTACAGACTTACATTGTGGTCAAGTTTCGCTGCATCCAGCCGAGATTACTTCTTTAAATTAAACGGTTTTCAGGTATTTTCCACAGGCTTTTTTTCAATACTATGTTTTTTATACTTATTCTTGTACCAAAATTTAGTTAATTAAATTCGCCCAAGTTTGTTATTTATACAATATAAAGTTCGCCGCCATATTGGATTTTTGTTGTTTTGAATTCCCTCTCCCCCCAGCCATCACGAAAATCATTAATTAATTGCACTCCTGGAAAGAGCAATTAATTATGGTAATAGAACGAATAGGAGTGCTATTAATGCCATAATCATACGAGTGATTACAAAATCAACCGACCGCGTAGCAGGAGGTTGATTTGTTAATCACGAGTATGATTATGGCATTAATAGCACGACTTAATTCGTTCTATTACTTATTAATTATTTATCTTTTGTAATGAAACTGTTTAAGGGGAAAAAGCACAAAAATACAATTTGTTGAAATTCAATATAATTATTAAATTTCTGTCACAACAATTCTTAGTGAAATAGTACAATTTTGAATTAAATTTATCATAATCAAATTAACATATTATTAACTTCCGGGTATTATTTCCAGTATATCACATGACAACATTGTTTGATTTTGATTAATCATTAATCAACACAGAATTGGGAAGCCATGTTTGCAAGTTTATAACATGTTCAAAATAGTGAAGTTCTTTAGTTCAGTTTAATCTGAATCTGAGCTAGTCAAATATAACCGCTGGTTGTGTCTAGTTCAGTGTCTTCTGCTGGAAGAACAGGTAGGTCATTTTCGTCAGAAAATATAATAATTTAAAAATTAAAAGGTCAAAATTTGTGAATTCCTCCATTTTGAAATTTTTACAGCAATAAAGAAAATAAAATTCAAAGTTTGTATCCTGAATGCTGATTGGCTAGTTGTAAATACTAGACTGATTTTCATTGGCTGTAGACAAGAGTGCGATTACAGCTCAGAAAAGGTGCAATTAATTCTCAAATCGCACTCCTGTAAACCAATGAAATTAGTATTTGCCACTGATTACAGAAGATAAATAATTAATGAAATAATTGCACTCCTCTTAACCAATCAGATCACAGTAATTTTGTCATGTATATTATAATAAGCCTTATAATAAATATCACGATATGTTATAGTCAAGTCTAAATTAAGTGTAACATAATACAATGAGAAACTCTAATGGGGGTTGAGTTGAGTTGAGTATTATCTGTGATATACGTGCTTTGAGATATATTCTGCGTATTAAGTTATTAATTTAATATTTGCATGTGTTTCACTTGAAGCCATAAATGTGTACATACTGTAGATTATCAATAGTTAATTTACTGTATATTTGATATTCTCAATATTTTACAGGAAATGATGTTGATCATAGTTGCATATTTCCTCGTCAATGTTCTTTGTGAGGTATCAGCCAATCAGGCAGAAGGTATGGTGAATATTGCTAAAAATCTATGTGCAAATATTGAAAAAATTACAAGTTATGCTATACCGTATTAGTTTATTAAGTTTTCACTGTAATCATATACAATTTTACCAACAGAGAAACAAGTAATTAAGTCGAGAACATTCTCAAGATAATTTTTTTGTGGCAGAATTCGAACTTTGGCCGTGGCAACGAGTTGTAAAATGGGCGGCCTTTTTCCTAAACTCTAAGTAAAGTAGTTTTCTTATGAATTTTACATCGCAACGCAAGGGATTTGCATTGACATTTCTTCCTATACAATGGCGTGGAATGATGAAAATGATAAGATGACAACATTAACTTGTATATTGGCATTTATTCGATTTACATTTATTCGCATGTATAATCATGCCCTAATCCTAACGCTAACCTAATAATGACCATTGCATATTTGGGTGAAATATTTGCGTAACTGTGCTTGTGACGTACTGTAACATGCACAATAATCCAAGATGGCGGAAAATATTTCGAGAACTAAGCAACATTTGAAAAAGCTGTAAAAACGTTTTCCCCATAATTTCTGAAGTTCTTTCGAATGAGATAAACTAAATTTGTATTGCCAAATCGCTTCGAAAAAAAGTTTCAGAAGGACATATACCAATAGAGAAAACAAACGTCCGACAACCACCATGGGCACGAATAAATGCAGCCAATATGTTATTACTTCAGTCAGAAGGTTAGGCTTTCACCCAGTGTGTTGTATATATGACTGTCAGCAGGATAACTAAAATTATTATATGGCTTTTCAAAATTCTCTATTCTGATTGGTTGACAAGCGGTCCGTAAAAACCCCTATCCGGACCGTGGTCCGTATTTTCCGTATCTGGACCTGTCATGCGTCATACTCGAAAACTACCCGGTGTCCCGGATGTCGTTTTTCTGGCGGGAAATTTTTGCTTTGCAAACAGAAAAAAATTTTGCATTTTAATTTTCCAATTGTGTGTTATTAAAATTTACAGATAAAAATTTCAAACAACCAAATTGTTTTTGATTGAGCACTCATGCCCACCGTATATTGTTGCCCAGCAATCTCGTTCCCCGAGCCTGCGATCCTTGGGAAGGAATCGAAGGCTCTGGGATAATCCGTTACCGGAAGCCAAGAATCCTGGCTAAGGTTGAACTACGCATTCCATTTCAATGGCCAATCAGATTCCTCCCTGAAACGGATTATCCCAGAGCCTCGCGTTCCTTCCCGAGGATCGCAGGCTCGGGGAACGAGATTGGTTGCCCAGTGAAACTGACGATAGCCGATTTAATTCGCGCGAAAAGCATATACTCACAGACTCAGTTCAGCCATATAATAACCCGATTGTTGACCTCGCTTGTTCAGTCTGTACTATGAAATATCAGACCTCTGTTTTTTGCATGGACCTCGCTCCTTCGTCGCTCGGTCCATAAAAAAACATCGGTCTGATATTTCATGGTCTAATAATACGAAAATTCCCAAGGCTAACAACTATACGCTAAGGAAAAATCAATTACATTTATGGTTGATTTGGATAAAAATTGGATAGGAGATTTTAATTTTGGTTTCCTGTGCAGAGAAAACTAAATTGCGTACGTAGTCAGTTAGGCTACTCTGTAATTTATATGCGAGGCGGAGGTAATAATCAGAATGCATTCCACTTTGAGATAACAATAATATTAGTCTAACTTTGACTGAAGTATTTTGTATGTATTCCACAGTGATCACGACCAAGTCAGGTTCGATACGAGGCATAATCCAGTCCTCCAGTTAATCTGGAATCAGAGTCCAGAAATTCCTCAATATTCCGTATGCTGAAGCACCAGTTGGTCAACTAAGGTTTAAAAAACCTGAACCTAAACTTCCTTGGAAAGGTAATGTTTCGATTTTTTTCATTGCCTTCATTATCTATTTAAGGTGACCCCCGACAGTTATAGCACAGTTTTAAACATATTTATGTAGATCAGACGTCATCCTCGCGACTAGCGTGTGGAATTTTTGTGGCCCGGTAAAAAATTTGAAATGGAAAGTTGTTTTTGTGTTTTATCTGGAAAGAAAATGCCAGTTTTTTATTGTAATCCTAAAATTTTCAGAATTCAAACAGTACGTATGTTTTTAACTCGTTATTAGCCTTATTAGCTTTATCTTTCAGTATGTTTTAACGCATTTAATACGTTCAGTATTGTATCTATAATTCTGATACGAAATGTCAAACTCTAGTAACTAGTTGAATGTTTTGAAAATTTTTCGCACCAAAGCGTTGGATTAATCAATGATTTATTGTGTTCTCATCTGAGATAAGCAAAAAATTTCTAATCTCTGTTTATATTTGTAAGTCAAAAACTCACTTCATTATAAATTTGGTTAAAAATGAGATTTACCTAAATTTTTTAAAATTTTAGAAAATTATAGGGAGCTACCTTATTATAATAATTCATGGTTTTTGATTGACTAACAGCCAACTGTGAAATCGGTCATATTGACTTATTAATTATCCGCGGCCGTTGACGCAGTTAGATTAAGAAATTTTAAGGGCCATTGTCGCTTTGAGGGGACCTCTTCGACTGGGGCCCGAGCAAATTGGCTTCCCCCCTTTCGGCGGCCATGGTTTCATCCCTCTTGCTCTCGTTTGACTAAAGCAACATTTACTCACATGCAAAATCCTGTGCGCCAACCCACATCAATTTTCAGCCGAGTTTGATGGCTATCAGCTCCAGGGTTTATTTTAAGAAAAATTTAGAACTGCACACATAGGGATGTTACAAAGGCAACGGTTGTTTGACTGGGGGGGCAAAGGATTTTTTACCTGCATATAGGTGACAGGATAATGGTGTGGTTGGGTGGGAGAATTGGAGAAAGGCCAGACAAACTCGATTTTGGGTGCAGGAGCTAAGGGTGTTCCCCAAAACAATTTGAATCTAGAGGCTGTTAAGTTCTGGCAAATATTTATTTTACCCAACCACTCAAAAAACTGATTCAAAACATGTAACTGGGAATTATGGATATTCAATATATAACAACCTTAAATTTACATTTGAGACAGCAAAAAATATTAGGTTCTCCCACTCTAATCTCTTTTGGGAAGCTTCGCTCGCCCCAATTTTACCTTCTTTTCCATTACTCCAGCGCGTAAGTGTTTTATGAGGAAAATAGGAGGGTCTGGAGTCCTCCCCCAGAAATCGTTTATATTTTTGATGCTCAATTAATGACAGCATTTCGGGAATTTCCTGGAGCATCCACAAGGCCGAGTAACGAGTAAATGAGAAGACTGTTTTAATTAAGGCTATTTTTGTTAGTTTGGTGACAGCACATTTGTGTTTTAAGAACTGCACAAATGGGTTTAGAACTGCACATTTTGTGTAGAACTGCACGTTAAAATAAACCTAATCAGCTCACTTACAACCAGTGTCGGCCAAACAGCGGCTTTTCCGTAGTTTTCACCTAAATGCCAGCATGACAAGCAAAACATGATACAGCTGTCACAGCTGTATAATGCTATTCCCTCATGCTCTTTCTGGTACCAATGTGAAGAATTTATGCGACAGATATGATGCAAAAATTGCTTCTAGCAGCAATTCGTATTGGTAAGTTTGGATGAATGACCAGCAAATTAGCATAGTTGAACTACTTGGCGGTGTATAAACCTCACGCTGTTAATTAACAATTAAGACATAATACAGTACGACTTAATGTATTTTAGAGCTGTGAAAATGATTAATTTAAGTGTGCTGAAGCCCACCAACTTCATCAACCACAATGTTGGTAAATTACTTCACTTTGCCTTCTAGTCGACAGCGATCAAGAATTAAAAATCTTCATTTTACTATTATACTTTGATATTTTGGGGGGGGGGGGGAGGGGCTTAGGCCTCCCACATTTACTTCTGGAGCTATGGCCCCGCTAGCCTCCCTGTCCTGCCGGCGCTGCTCACAACTGGCCTTATTACTTTCAATTAGTTCCTACTAGGAAGACAATAATACTTTCAACAGGAAACGTGTTTAATTTTTTGTTTAGGTGTATTAAATCGTACCGAAGATATAATTGCATGTATTCAACCATGGAAACCTAAAGTGACAATGACTGAAGACTGTTTAATACTCAATGTGTGGACACCATTTCCACGTCCTCAGAATGCGAGTGTTATGGTAAGATATCTGTTTGTTTAAAGTGCTTATGACTGTGTGGTGGCTTTTTATCGATCTCCAACTTCATATTACGTGTATGAGATTTATGTTTTCTTTAGCGAACTTTTAGGGAACGCTTTCATTTTACCCCTTTTAATAAAACGACAAACCTGTGAACTACCGTGTTGTTGGAGACTTAAAAATGACATTCATGATACGGAAAGGGAAAAGATCCCACGGAAATTTTATACTCATTATCCTCGCTCTTTTTCGGACGGCAAAGCGCATATTATCACATCTTGTGTACAGCGGATACATTTCAAAATGCGTCAACGTCTACTTCAGATTGGTTGTAGATCTCTTCTTAACCCTAAAACCACGATTTGTAAATTGACTATTCATTTCATCCTAGTACCCAGAATTAATAAATATTCATGCCTTGGCGTGACTATGGACGAAAGGTTGTTTTGGGATAAACATATTGATTCTACTGCCTGCCTCATACCCAGGCGTCTCTTTGTAAAAAAACAGTGATGCGCATATGACGAGTTTACATGAAGTATTGTAGTGGGGAGAGATGGCGAAGGGGCTGATGGGAAGAGTACAGCCCCTTCGCGCGTCGGCTGCTTACCCGAATACTTCATGTAAGCGCCTGGGTACGAGGCAGTTGATTCTATCTGTTCTAATGTTGGTGCCGGTATTGGTGCAATGAGACGCGTTAAACCTTTTGTGCCACTGTCGACAACCAAAATGCTATATAATGCTATTATACAGCCTTATTTCGATTATTGCAGCCCGTTGTGGGATAATTGCGGAATTGGGCTCAAATATAGGTTGCAAAAATACCAAAATCGTGCTGCAAGAGTAATTACTGGGGCAACTTACGATATCCGGTCATCTGAGTTACTTGATAATCTAAATTGGAAACCTCTCGAAGAAAGACGAAATTATATTAAATGTATTTTAATTTCATCTCAATAAAATTCTGAATGGCCACACCGCACCCAGTCTTAAAGAAGCATTTCAATTTAATAATGAAAGACATAATACTTACAATCTTAGAAATAGGGATACTGATTTAGCACCACCTATGCCGAAAAAAGAATTCGGCAAGAGGTGCTTCATTTATAATGGTGCCTTGCATTGGAATAATCTTCCCCATGAGGAAAAAATTGCTGAATCCTTAAGCTCTTTCAAATCGATATTGAAACAAAGAATGAATTGAAATTTGTTTCTGTGTAATTGTGCAGCTAAAATCACTTGTATTTTTTTTGTTATATTTTGTATTTCTTGTAAATAGTTAATTTCTTGTAAATAGGTAATTTCACGCCTCTCATGGAAACCAGCCTTCCAACGGCTGTTGAGGCTAGCGTGGTCTAAATAAAGTTTTGTACATGTATATATGTATATCTATGTTTTAGTTAGCCGCTTCTTATCGCTGGCTCAATGCGCACGTTCGCGTGAGGATACTCATTTTTTGTTGTTGATATTGTTGTTGTAAAGCAATATATTTCGCATCTCGAATTTTTTCATGCTTAATTTAAAATATAAAATAAATATAACAACTCGTATACAAATTAAACCAAATCTTCAATATCCTAGAAATTAAGAAATACATGCATGTAGCAACTCCTTGGGCCTTGGCTACATTTTCCAAACATTGATTTAACATGTATTAGCATACATAACATTATTAGCAATAATGTGTTGCCATAGCTGCACGTTGTTATTGATGTTTTAAAAATATTTCATATTCTTTGCAAAAAATTGCAAATTTTTTGAGATTGTTAGTTCCACAATGGAAAACAATTCGATTAGGCGATCGGTCCATCGTTTGGAGATCAGTGACCACTTTAGACTTTGCTAATGCTTTACTTTCTCCGGGAATAAATAGGCGAGCGGAACAATTATACTGATAGGTCAAGTGAAATGCTTTCAACGGCGTACTCTTTGTTCCCGCTAGGTTTGGATACATGGTGGATCGTTTGTTGCGGGACACTCCGGCATGTATGAAGGTTCAAATATCGTAGCAGTCGGTGGGGTAATAGTGGTGACGATCAATTACAGATTATCAGCTCTTGGATTTCTCACGACTGGAGATAACAGGATTAAAAGTACCACATTAGTTCCATTAATTGTAATAGCATTGAAGAACTGACTGTTCTCCTTCGATAAATAAAGATTAATAAATTGTTTGGAAGCAAAAGATCTACAGGGAGGAAGGAATTCACTCGTCAAAAATAGGTGGGAATTTATCTGCGCTTGTCAATAAACTGCGGGCGCTTAGCAAAAACAAGTTTTGGGACTTTTTTGGGGAAGAAAGCCGTAGATTTGCAACAATAGTGTTAATTGGTTTATTCGGTTATGGAAAATTGCCCTGAATAAAGCACCTTAAACTGAAATCGAGCAATTGTAAAGTATTTTATTATACGACGAAATGTTGACGAACAACTTGCATCTTGCAAGCGTTTTTGACTTCCAGTAATTTAAAAAAGGCTTTTGATACCATTGATCATAACATTTTACTACAGAAGTTAACTTGTTACGGTTTCAACAAAGAAACGATTGATCTTTTTAGAAACTATCTTTCTGATCGTACTCAAATAACAGTTATTAACAACATACGATCTGATACTCGTAAAGTAACATGTGGAGTTCCTCAGGGGTCTATCTTAGGTCCACTACTGTTTTTAATATATATAAACGACCTACCTAATAATGAATTGGTATCAGATGGGAGTTTATTCGCTGATGATACCAACTTGACTTTTGCGGACAGCAACCCTGACAAGTTGATTTCTGTTCTAAATGACGACCTTAAAACTCTCCAAAACTGGCTTAACCTGAATAAACTAAGCCTGAATGCGATTAAAACTAAATGTATGTTTATGGCATCCAGGAAAAAATTAAGTACTATTCCTGAAGAACCTAATATTGCTATCTCCGGAAACAAAATTGAAAGAGTTAGATCTTATAAGTGTTTAGGTTTAAAACTGGACTAGAGTTTGACATGGGAGCATCATGTTTCTACTATAATCTGCAAAGTCTCCAAGGTGATTGGAGTTCTACGAAGACTAAAACCATTGCTCCCACAGTCAACTCTTGTCATGATCTATAACTCTTTAGCACAGCCATACTTTGATTGATTATTGTAGTATTGTCTGGAATAGCCTAGGTAAGGGTCTTGGACAAAAGTCACAGCGATTACCAGAATAAGGCTGCAAGAATTATTACTGAATCTGATTATAACATCCGGTCATCAGATATTTTAACATCATTGAATTGGACCAACCTTGAAACCAGACGTACCCAACAGTTCAAAACTTTTATGTACAAAACTGTTAATAATATGGTTCTTAGTTACTTGTCTGGAAAATTTACTTCCACGCCAATGATACACGAACATAGTTTGCATGGATCTAATCATAAACTTTTTGTACCAAGACAAGCCTTAACGGAATCCTTGAAGAAAAGTTTTTCCTATAGAGGAGCTACCCTATGAAATGACATACCCGTCGAACTCACTAGAGTTCAATCTCTCGCTGAGTTTAAATCTAAAATATCTTATAATATTTCTTTTATATTAGTTTCTTTGCATGTGTGTAGTTTGTTACTTTTGTAAATAGTTTGATACCTTTTTATTAGTAATTAGTCTACTAGTATTGGTACACGTCTCCATTGAAGAGCACATAACATAACCTGTGAAATGGACCTCGTGTTTTAAATAAAGATGTCAATCAATCCCTGGAAACTAAACTTGCGATCAATTTAAAAAATTTTTTATGCATATTTCTACTAAAGACCCATTTGCAACGTTTATTTATGACTAAATCCTTGAAAACACGCAAAAATCGTCATTTCGCTAAAAATAGGATAATTAAGCTTAATTTTCAACTTAAAATTCGGAAAAAAATTCTTTCACGAATGCTACGAAATTTTTCGGGAAGGACACGAGTCTTTTCAAGCCTGTACTCGGCTCGATGTTTAAGCAATCTTGGCAGAGCAATTTTACACATCAATAAAATTGACAGTTTTGGAACCCAATAATCGCTGTCTCATTTCGTAGCAATTTGACGACCGATTTATTGCTTAAATTGTGGAATGGGTTCTTTGTATTTAAGATTAACTGTTTATTACAAAATAAGTAGCAATTACCAAAGTTCCGATCCTTTCAGTAAATGGATTGTGAATTAATCTTGTGCCACTATTTGTATGCAACAATGATATCACCTTGTACAGTTATAAAAAATATGCCTTTTTCAATACTCTATTTTCAGGTTGATTTAAAAGCTAAATGATATATTTTTCATAAAACTATATAATTTTTGTTGGACTAAAATTCCCCAAGTACACATAAGAGAAAGGTCAATTTGCACGTGTATTTCTCTCTTGCGACAAGCGTTCGAAATCGTATACAGAAACAGGCACAGTATGACAAAAATGCATTTGGCACGCGGGCATTCGTACACAAAAGTCCCCTCTGTTCTCGCCGGCCAACTGGACTCAGTAGTTCAGTTGTTTAATTTTAAAGTACTGCACCTATATCGCAGCACCGCTAGTTCAAAAAACTACGACATCATGCGTTCGAAGTGCAGGTAGCTAACTTTATATCTACAATAATCCAAGATGGCGGACAGCTCACTGCATGGTTTATGTCAAATGATTTTAATAAGGTCAAACTTTCCCGAGAACTGAACAAGATTTGAAGATTATTGTTTTTCACGTAATTTCAAAAGTTAAAATAATGGAAGCAATTTTTATTGTCATACAGTGTTTCTTTAATATTATTTCTCTGTGATCTTCAGGTAACCTCGGTCTATATGATCAACGTTTGGCGATGAAATGGGTTAAAGACAACATTGCATATTTTGGTGGAAATTCAAAATCAATCACCCTATTTGGTGAGAGTGCTGGAGGTGCGAGTGTCTCAGCACATACGTTATCTAAAGGTAGCTGGGAGTTGTTTGACAGAGCTATCTTGCAAAGCGGAAACATGCTTATGCCGTGGGCGATTATGACAAATTCTCAAATCAAAGGTGGATTAAAATGGTTTCTAGGAAAAGTTAATTGCGACAATGATGAAAATTTGTTGGAGTGTCTACGAAATGTTACTGAAGACAAATTGAAGAGCGTGGCGAATAGCAAAGAATTTTGGTCAATATGGATTGGACCTAATGTTGATAGAGAATTCATTTCTGATAAACCACAAAAAATATGGGAGGACGGAGACGTCAAAAACCAAGAAATAATTATTGGAGTTACTAAAGATGAAATGTTTATGGTGCTGCAAAATGAATTACTAAAGTCTACGAACATAAGTTATTACTTGAAATATTTCGAGAAATTACTAAAGAAGCATTTCAATAATTCATCCAAAGCGGTGTATGAGAAAGCGAGAGAATTGTACAACTACCGAAATGCATTCCTTCTTATTTGGAAGCATTAAAACCGAGCGTGGCATTTCAATCAGACAGAATATTTATTTGTGAGAGCAGACAGGAGGCTAAACTAAGATTTAAACTTATGAATGCTACAAATGTTTATGTATTTCGATATTCCCACGCCCCATTGGTAAACTATATACCTCGGCTGTACCCTTATGGAGTATTTGGATTTGCAGCCCATGCCGTCGATATTATGGTAAGAAATTTTGCTTTTTACAGGAAAGAGCCCAAGGCATTTTTTAATACCATGGACTGGTGGGGCATTTTTCCCACTTGGCCCCTTCCTCTGCCCCACCACTGAGGGAAAGAAATGGCCTATTGCCCCAAAGCTAGGGACCTATGAGCTGTATTGAGTAAATGAGTTTAACATTGAAAATTAAGAAGTTTAAAAACAAAATTTGTTGGTGAGTATATACTTAAACTTATGTTGTATTTGAATGTTTAGCATGCAATTTATTACAAATTTCACCATTAAAACTTTGTTTTGAGAAGTTGAGATTTTTTTAAATGCGTTCTCAGAATGCAGGAATTAAATGCTATTTCAGAGACCCAAATTTTGAAAATTTCCTGCGGGGCATGCCCGGCCCGGCCCCCCTTGCTATCTCGTGCCTGCGGTACTCGGCTCACACCTTCGGCGATCGCATACTATCCTGAGGGAAGGCCAAGGAAAATGGGCCCTTTGGAAATTTTTCCCCACCACTGAAGAATCCTTAAAACATGCACTGAAAGAGCCAGTGCTATCAAAAGAGATTTTCTGTCTTCGTTCTGGTTTTTCGGTGTCACAAACGTCACATCAAGGTATCGTAGGCTCATGGTAGATTGCTCCAGTTATCTGTCTCCACTATGCAGTTCAGTCACTTCAGATTGAAAATGGCTGTCATTCGTCGAGTAGGAAAAACATTGGAAGCAATTCTCCCGTTAACATTTTCAACGAATTGTACAGTTAATTATTTTCAACGAACTGAGCATGAACAAGCCAAAGACAAGTTCAAGATAGAAGGTTAAACTGCCGAAAGTAGTTTTAATAGATAACTACTATAAATGTCCGTTTTAGATATCTTTGTTTATTCAATTGCGCTTTACAGTTTACAGCCTGGACAAATTGACCGTATTATATTGGACAGATAAGAAGACGTCTGTAAGAATGAACTTTAAACATGTGTTTATGAATGCTGACCTTAATCCTTACCCTGATCGCGGACCCTAACTCATAAACAGCGAGATAGGAATTCATAACCCTCGCAAACAAAAGGAATTAATCGTGGATCTTCAGACAGAATAGTACATTTGAAAATCTACTTATTCTGAACAACTAATATCATGCAGTAACGTACTAATAGTGATTTTCCATTGTATTTTAGTCAGTATTTGGTGCGCCGATTAATGATACGAGGTTCCGGTCTGATGATCGAACACTCTCTATGAGAATGGTATTGTATTGGACAAATTTTGCTAAAACCGGGTAAGTGTTTAACATCTATTCCGATTGGCGTATTCTTTTCAAGCATTATACGATTTAGAGTGCGTAGAGAAAAGTTAAAATCAGTGTAATTAGTTTTTAAAACGGCTAATTACAAATATACATTATCTTCCTTCAAAATATAATTAGAGAGGCTCAGATTTGACTATACCACCACCGCTTCCGGTTCCACCCTCAGGCTTAACACGTATTTGATTGGTTGGATTGATTGGCTAGATTAAATGCATCTAATTGGTTAATTGTAACTGCATGTACAAACGGTAGTGGAAGACTGGAAGTCAAAGTCTGAGCCTCTCTATCAAGATATTATATTGACCCACAAATTCTATCCCAAGAAGTGAAATGTCTCATGTTTTTCTTATACGGTGACACCAATTTTGGCATACGGATATTACCGCTGTTTCTAAATACAGATATAAGTGCACATTGCAACAGCCTAGTCATAAAGGTTTTGCTACCAAGATTCAGATATGAACCAGGTTTGCTGGGAATTCGCCTACATGGGATGAATTATTTCTTTGTTCGTGACTGTTTTTATCCCGCCTGGGTCTTTGTAGTATTTTCGTACAACGCCATTAAATACTATATATACTTAATAGTAGAGGTCAGCATCGACTAAAATGACCATACCGGTCAGATGACTTGACTGAGATCCCTCCTCGCGCAGAATGAGATCTCACCTAGCCAGGCTGGCTTCCTTTCTCATATGAGTACAGTTTAATTTCTAATTCCACTTCTTTTATACAGAGATCCAAATTCCGGCACCAAAACGTTACCGATTGTGGTAGACAAGGTCGACACTTTACCGCATGGCCTCAACATAACAATAGTAATGAAGAATTTCTGGACATGGAAAGTTTTTCTCAGATGACCGTGAGAACAAAATTACGTGAAAAACATTGTGAATTTTTGAGTGATCCTGAAGGATTTATTGAAAAAGCAACGAGTGGTTCAACAAAAAATATCATTACACTGCGGGCTTGGCTTACCATGGTGGCATTTTATGTAATTTTTTTTATTTGATAAACTGAACTTTATTATTCGAGGACAGCAGAAAATATGTTGACTATTGGTGTAATTACAATGGAACGTACATAATCCCCGAGCCGATGGCGCGAAGCGCCGTTCGAGGGTACTAATTCCCCCCGGCTATTTACACCCGGGGAAGGGAAGCATTAGCGAAGTCTAAAGTTCATCAAATATCGCGTGCGTGGGTCACTGTGCGTGTTTCGGTGGGTGGTCATCCTCACTGATCTCATAATATAGCGGACTGTAATGAATAGCCAACACTGATTGGTCCAATTTAAAATTGGCATTATAACGGCTGCATGACGATTGACGACAGCGAAATTGATTTGATGATTTCTTACAAATATATTTCATTTTTGCAAGATTTTGTTAATTGCAAAGGATTTTTGATGAAATAAAGGCAAGAGGATTGCTAAAAGCATGGGCGTACCGAAAGGAAAAAATTAGGGGGGCGGAAAGAAAATTGCTCGACTTTTCGAATTCTGCCCGACTAGTATCAAAAAAATTTTTCCGGAAAAATTATTTTGGCGACCTCCCCCCGCCCCGTCGCCAAAAAAATTTCGGTCAGTGTACCATTTTAGGGGTCAAAACATTTTTCCGGACAACCAATTTTTTTCGGAACATAACACAAATTTTCGAAAAATCGCAAAATTTGCAAAAAAATTGACTTAATTTTAGACAAAATTGACAAAATTTGTCCCATTTTTTTTATTGCAAGCCAAAATTGCCCGACTGTTGATCGCATATTGCCCGACTGCCCAAAAAACTGGGGGGCTATCCCCCCCCCGCCCGGTACGCCTATGGCTAAAAGAAGGAAGTAAAGGTGCCGACGTTAACGAAGGTAAGTTTGTTTTAAATATTGATGCATTGTTTGCTTTTAATATACTGTAATCTCGGCTGTAATTACTTTAAAAGCCGATCGTTGCGTATATAAAATATGAAACAATTAGACGGCGTATTATTTCAGTGTTTCTTTATTGATTACACTTTTTATTATACTAAGCAAAGTTATTTACATGGGAGAATTTGGAATCATTTTATTTCGAACTCAAAGTTTATCGATAAAGGCAGTTTAGTTCTATATTAAAAGAACACTTTCAAACGTTTTGCGAAGGGTTTGTGGTTGAATTTTACCTTCAATTGAAGCTTATATTACGTATAATAACACACCTACTGTAATTACTTTACTGAGCCGATCGTTGTGTATAAATATGAAACAAGACAGCGTATTATTTCAGTGTTTCTTTATAGATTACTAACACTTTTTATTATACTAAGCAAAGTTATTTGCATGGGAGAATTTGGAATCATTTTATTTCGAACTCAAAGTTTATCGATAAAGGCAGTTTAGTTCTATAGTAAAAGAACATTTTAAAACGTTTTGCGAAGCGTTTCTGGTTGAATTTTACCTTAAATTCAAGCTTATATTACGTATAATAACATACCTAACATATATATGTTTAGGAAATTGACAATTTTGTAATTAAAAGTGATATTTATAGGGGATTTTTCATTTGTAAAAATATTCTCAAAAAATTATCGTGTTACCATGACAACTACTTAAAATACTTCACGTTCGGAAAATAAAATTGTTTTGTCAGCAAGGCGAGGGTTTCTGCATGCATGTATTTTCTAGTTTAATAATTACACAGTGTAACTTTTTGCATCCAGGGGGGTGCGAAAACAGGTGGCTTTCAAAAATATTATGTGGTCAGTGGTAAATAGTGAACTCTAATAATAACTGGAAGGCTAAGTCAGGGGGGGAAGTTGAAGCCGTGCTTGAAGCTTTTTTTGTAGGTAGACCCAGTCCTTTTTAATTTTTTTTTTCAAAATATGCACATTTTTTGATCAGAAAAATCTTGCCCCAAAATATTAGTGATACTACCAAAAAAAATGCGAAAAACACGACCATAAGCATGAACGGTTTGAAAAACCGCGCGTTTTAGGCTGCTTTTTCTGAGTTTTTGGAAGTTTAAGATAAAACTAAGACGTCATACCTCAGGAATTTTTTATACCCATGCAAAATACATCTGTATGCGAAGTTTCAAGAAGATTTAACGTTTTAAGGTCGAAAAAAAAAACATTTGAAAATTGACAAAAATATTGCCATATTCAAAGTGCTCATAGTGGCCAACAAGATGCCGATGACGAAAATAACATCACTTGAAAAACGCCAATTTACTGATTTATGTTTAAGAGCGACTAAAACAAGGACTAAAAGCTCAGGATCAATAACAATACTTGGGGTTTAGTACAACATAGGTTTTGGGACTGTCAAAATGTTTTATAGTATATATTTTTGAGTTGAACGGCGAGATTTCCTTCGGCACATCCAAACTTTCGTCATTTTTTCAAAATACAAAAGCAAAATTCCTTACTTTTTGCTGCAGAGAGATGTAAAACAGTCGGAACTAATCGGAAATTTTGTTTAAATCTTAAGTCATTGTTGTATTCCCATGGGAAAAGTGTTTTTCTTGCAAATTTTTGCTCGAA